TTGTTTTCGCATCAAATAATGAAGTTCAGAGAACTGTCACCAGAGTGTTTAGTAAAGCCCAACAAGCTAGAGTATACTACATACAGTGACTGAAGCGCCTCCATCTTTGCAGCAAATTGAAGCCATGGTTTTTGCAGTCAAAGCAACGGCCTCCGGGGAAACAGTATTCCTTTTGGCGCTGGTTACGGCCGGGTGGACGTGGTCCGCGCACTATGTAAATTTTCCTCCTGTGTGTTCCACGACCAAAAACCAATCATTAAAAAGGCGAATGTCTTTATGTCAGGGGAACGAATAGAGAAACTTTAAGTACACGTTGCTTCCTGAATGTTATTTTCATTAGAATGGAATCTGTTGAAATTCTATTGTAGTTGGCATAAAGCCTAAAAGTGAATGTTGTTGCAATAGAAAGCAAACAAACGGATTACAAATAAGGCGGTACTCTTGAAAAATTACACATTTGTGGTTTGATTTTTACAGTTGCCAAACACACTAAAGGTATTGTGAATATTATTCTAACCACTTTCGCCATTTTCTGAACAAACTGGGGAATTTGAATTTGTTTTCACAGAAAGCTTTTGAGTTTTGTAAAAACTTTGACGTCACTTAAAGTACATGTTCTCATAAACGCAATAAATCGCCGCTAGTGGAAATATTAACGACGAAATATATCGAGAGACAAATCAAATTACGTTTTTGTAATTTTTAGGGGACACCAAAAGAATAGAGCGATATATGCCTTTATGCCATCTCAGAGTTAATTATTCACCATCCCCACAAAAGTTTAAAGGAAAAAGTTTGAGCCATTTTTAAAAAAGAATTGAAAATGCCCGTAGGGGTGCATGTAAAGTACCCCCAAATTTTGAAAAGAAGTTTTTAAAAATCGCAGTGCCTCGAGTCGAACCAAATCGACCGGGGAATACCCATTTCGAAAAGAAATTCTACGTTTGGAAAAAGAAAAAAAACACTTTTTCGGTATCGGGGACCCCAAAACATGTATTTCCGTTGAAATCTCGAAGTCGATTTTCCTTAATTTTACTTAACTTTTTCATGATACGAATATTTCTCCGTATATACGTATGGATACGGGAAAGTAGTGGTGTTCAGAATGGCATAGACTTTCTCGCATTAGTTTTCTATTTTCTTTGGTCTCGGCTAGCCATTCGGACTTGCCACATACTCTTGCCAGCTGCCATCTATCGCCATCCAAAGTACTTTTTGGAAATTTTCTTACTTTTCGGTATTCTAATAGAACTGAAATATTTTAAGAATATTAAAGAACAGTAAAACCTCGCCCTTAATGGCAATTTTCTGTGAAAAATTTGGAGATGTTTTTAAGAAAATGGCGTTTAAACGCTACTGTCAGTTCGAAATTTGAAGTACTTTAACTTGCAAATACAATAGTGTTTACAAATTGCTGGAAATGTGCATATTAAAGGCGTGAGAAATCTTTAAACGAAATTACATTTGTGTGATTTAAAAAAAAATGAATAAGCAAAATTAATTCTATGTCATCTTAAACAGTGCAATTAGCACAATTTGTTGGAAAAGTTGGAAGAAAGAATTTGTAGTGGTTTTATAGAAAAATGTGTTTGAGCGTTTCTGAAAATGCGGTATTTTGAACTAGTTTTCACGGCAAACTGTTTTTTGCGAAACTTTGTCTCACGTTATTTAAAGCACATGCACTCATAAATACATTAATATAAAGAAATGACCGCTAATGAAAATATTATCATCGTTAGGGACGTCAAAAAATTACTTATGTGTAGTTTTTGAAAGAAAAAAAACAGAAGAATATAGCAATATTGCTTTTATGTCATCTTATTGAGTGCATTTAGCACAATTCATACGAAAAGTTTAAAGAAAAAAAATTGGAACTATTGTTGAGAAAATATTGTTTGGCTATTTGTTTTAAATTGCCCATATTGCGCGAAAACTACTAAAATTTTCAAAAAAATATACATAGTTTTAATGAAAGAACTCACTATGTAGAACAAGTTTTATTTGAAGGGAAAATCTCTATCTTCAATTTTGTAGTTGTAAGAAAACGCCCGAAATTTTCGAAAATTCAGAGTTAAACAGGAAAATATGACCTATGCCACCTTTTTAAGTATATTTTGCTCTATTCTTGCAAGAAATTTAAAGAAATTAATTTTGAGCCACTTTTGAGAAAATATTGAAAATATCCGGAGGGCTTCATCTACAATACCCACAAGTTTTAAAGAATGTTTTTTCAAAATCTCACAGATTCGGCTCGAACCAGATTGACACGGGTTTCTTTAATTTGGAAAAAATTCTACGCGCTAGTAGTGTTCACAGACATCGGACGGACATTTTAAAAAGAAACACTTTTTCGGTTTCGGGGGACTTCAGTTTTCTGCAGCATTACATAACTTTCCATATAATGCGTATATTACTCGATATGTACGTACGTATACGTGAAAGTTAAAATAATAAATAATGATTATTCGTTATTTTCTAAAAAGTAGATAAAATGAAGTGTTTATGACGTTTGTGGCACCCCTAAACCCATTATAAAACCAGATTTATTTGTGCCGATGTTCTTGCACCGAAAACTCACTTTTTCACTAAGCCATTACATTCTATTTTTTTTCGATACAGCCACACACACTCACTCTCTCTCGCTCGCACACTCTCGCTCGCTCGCACACTCTCGCTTGCTCGCTCGCTCGCTCGCACACGCTCGCTCGCACACTCTCGCTCGCTCGCACACGCTCGCTCGCACACTCTCGCTCGCTCGCACACGCTCGCTCGCACGCTCGCTCGCACGCTCGCTCACTCGCTCGCTCGCACACTCTCTCTCGCTCGCACACTCTCGCTCGCACACTCTCGCTCGCACTCTCTCGCTCGCACACTCTCTTTCGCTCGCACTCTCTCTCTCGCTCGCACACTCTCTCTCGCTCGCACACTCTCTCTCGCTCGCACACTCTCTCTCGCTCG